GAAAGAGAGAGAGAGAGAGTTAAAAAATAAAAAGTTCAAGAGTGATGAGAACCAAGTTCTTTGACCGTGTGTTTGGATCATTGATTTAAACAGGAAACAACAATGATTCATCCCCCCTTTTTCCCCCACCCCCTTTGACCCCCTCTCTCTCTCATTGGTTACTTTTTTTTTTCTTTTTTTTCCTGCTCCTCCAATCACCACCTGCCATGTGGCAAAGGGGGGGTGAGGGGGTGACCCCCAAAAGGGGGTCCCAAGCATTATTCAAACAGGAAATTGGAAAAGAGAAAGGAAAAAAGAGTTAAATATAAAATATAACTTAAATTTATTCATGATCCAAACACAGCCTAATAGAAGCTCAAATTCATAACCCTGGTGTAGCTTGGTAAGGGAAAGTGAAAATCAAAGAAAAAGAAAGCCCATTTCTTTTAAGGAGGAGGGGCGCTGTTTGGGCCTATTGGGGGCCACCACGGCCTTCGTTTCGATAATCTGAATCATTCATTTTGTTAGGCATTTCATATATTTCATCAAAAAAAATTAGATCGATCCAATAACTGCAACTTGTTCAATTTATTATTTTTTTATCAAAAAAATGTATGATTTATTTTTAAAAGTACAATTGTCATTCATTTTTTTAAAAAAAAAACATGGTAAATTGAACAAATTATAGTTATCAAATCGACCTAATTTTTTTTAATGAATGAAATACATGAAATGCTCAACAAAATTCAAATCATCGAAATGCACCCATGATGGGCCCCACAGCCCAAACAGTCCCTCCAGTGCAGATTTTAGGCCCGAGGAAATCCTCATATTCAGATAAAATTAGAGCTAACTAATTAAAAGAATGATTAACTAAACAAAAAAACCAATCAGTAGACATGAACGCAGAGCTGTGACATAGATTAGTACATACACACATGAATCAAAACCACGTCCTCAACATGAAAAACACAAAAGTGAAAAAACAAAACAAAACAAAACCAATCAGGAAATCAAGTAAATGATGTGGGTGGGGATGAGGAAACAAACACGTACCGACACGCAGACAGAACCAGTAACGATCGTTGCGAGTGTAGGGATCGGAGGAGGCTGCGAAATCCACGAACTTGGGTGCTTTGATCTTCTCGTATAACTCCTCCTCCTCCTCCCCACCACCTCCATCTTCTTTAATATTGATGATCAACAATTAGGGTTTCTCCTCCATTTCTTCTGTTGAGAGAGAGAATTTTAAACACCTGACTTGACTGTCTCTGTAAGTGGCCATTACAAAGTTTTCTTATCTTCAGAAAGAAGTTGCAGATAACGGGATCTAGGGGCATATCTGTAATTTCACTTTTTTCCTAAAGCTAAAGGAATTGATGCTTCCCTTATTTATTATTGCTGGCTTTTATCATTTGAAACATAAGTATGCAATTAGGGCTGCAAGCAACCAATGCGTTTTGATTTAAAAATTTATGGAGTTTTAGTTGGTGTTTGGGTTTGCTTAATTGGTACTCTTTTTTTTCTTTTTTGGGTGCCTATTTTCGACTTTAGTGAATTTTTTAAAATTTTTTAAAAAAATTTTAGGTTTCTAAATTTCAACTCGATGTTACAAAAAATTTTGAAAAAAGTTCAGAAATAAGCAAAAAAATTGTTGACTTTTTTGGATTATTTTGATTTTTCAACTTTTTTTTGGAATTTTTCAAAAAAAAATATTTTTTTGATTCGTTTACACAAGACTGACTAGAAAAATAAAATATTTTGACATAATTTTGAAAAGAGTCACTAAAAAATGACTTTTTTAGGTGTTTGCAAGCAGCCATTAAAATATATTTAAACTTAGTTTATTCAAAATGAGATGTAACTAATTTAAACACAAATCAAATTATAGTAGTTTATTTTTTTATATAATTCTCCTATATTCAAAATCATGTGGATAATTACAATTGTGAGACACAAACAATCACTGGTATTCAATCTACAATTATGTGATAAATAATAAATTGTTTGATCAATGTTTGCTTTGTCATGACATAGTTAAAACAAAAAGTTTAATTTACTTTCTCAAGTCGTCTTTTGGTAACACAGTTTTTACTTTGCCTTTCAAGCTATCACACGTATCACTTAGACTCTTCTAAACTATTAAATTTAACAACTGATAACTTAATGCGCCACTATATGTTATTAATAAACATATTAGTAGTTATAGTGGGATTCAATCATTGCATGTATTAATTTATCATTCGATGATAACACTGCGTGTTAATAATAATATAATATCAGTGTCAATAATAATATAGTATCACTGTTATGTGTTGAATTTTGACTCCAATTTGTGGCAGTTGGAAGTCATTGCATTACATGTAAAACGGGTTTTGCAATTTATTTTTATGCCAACAGGTAGGATAGACCTCAACACAATCACCCTCTGAATTTTTACATTCATTTTTATGCAAGTTTCATTTGTAGCATTGCTTTGTTTTTGTTGATTTGCAGCAATATGAAACTCTGTTTTCATATCTTATTATTGAACCCTGACTATTATGACAGGCAACTAAACCTCTTGCAGTTGATTTTCATATTTGGTTTCAACTTGAATTCAGAGTTTCGATTTAACAAGAAATCAATGTTAAAGATTTGTTCGATTTACTAAGCTTGCAATAACTATTCGCCTTCATTTGTTAGGCACCACTAGTCTAATGGGCAAAATAGATGAAATGAAACATTAGTAGATAAATTAACATATTTCTTATTGTGAAAAATAAAAAATCAAAAGTAAGTACAAATTTAAATTATATAAACTCAAACATTCTAAAGATTACTGAAAATCATAGTCAAGATTGTTGTATTTTTCGGTTTTTTTTTTTAAAAAAAGATTATTGTATTTTGTTTTTTTCCTTTTCATTTTCTCTTTAGTATTATTACAAAACTCAGAAATAATTATCCAAAAATTATCATCATATATTTCAGATTTATTCCACACATAAACCTTATACTATACAAATTTAATCTCCACTACACAAATACTCACCTAGAAAATTCTAAGTGAATATGTCTGGTTTCAGACTTTTCCATTTCATTTCATTATGATTACAAATGAAATTGGAAACAATACTACAAAGAGTCCAACCGAGAGTTCAAGAGAGAGATCATTTGATTGACTTCTGCACCCACCTCCTGGATTTTCTTCTTTTCTCTCGTTGGATGTTTCCCTCCATGTTTTGCAATCTCAACTTGATTTCCTCGATCAATAAAAACAAATAAATAAAACTGAAGAAAATGAAAAAATCATCAGTTCAGTAAATGAACATAATTTTGACTGTGTTTCCCAAAATTAGTTGAGTTGGGTCTCAAGGACAAACAACAAAGTCACTACACAAATATAGTCACTACACAAATATGATGAGATGAAATGCATAAAGATGAATGTATATTCGAATTGACATCTATGAATATGCATGAATTTTTTTTGCATAAAGAGAACAACTGTCAACCAAACTAGGCGAGTGGCAACACCACACACTAACGAGACTTCACCCTTAGAGCTTGCAAAGCTAAAGGAATAATAATGGCAATTATGGAAAAAAAACCCAATCAATAGTTCCTTAATCCACAATACAAGAGATAACAACAATCCACATGTTCAGTCCAAGAGGAACATAACATGTCAGAGCATGTCACAAAGTTTCACAACAATCCATTACACCAAATAAATTAGGGTTCTATAATTAAAATATAAATTAATGTCCCCAACAAAATAATGCAGAATAGCTTCAACACTCAGCACTCCACTCCAAGAATAAACTACATAGCATTGTTCCTCTAGATCTGTAATATAGGAGTAAGTTAGTAACTATCTACCACAACTGATCATATCAAATAGAAGTAAATTATATATTTCAGTAAGTAAAGATTTTATATAAACCTTTCGCTAGAAATGAAATGTGATTCAAGGGTGGGGGATAAAAATCATGCACATCAGTTGTCATTTAAGTAAAACAAATCCAATAAGGCAAATTCAATAATCATACAGTTCAAAAACTCAGGATTCACCGTTCAATATCTCAACAAATTAAATAACTTAATACAGACAATCCAGAACTCAATGGTTCGATACACGCAAACTCAATTTTTTTTAGCACAGCCACATTGGCTCGTGACAAGGCCGAAAATCACATTTAACTCTGCGATTAAAGCCTAAAAGAAACTAGTTTATGTGCCGATACTGAACTGTATTGGCTTAGTGTCCAAATCATAGTCGAACTGGATCCATGCTTGTGATAAAATTTATGAATCCACAATGAGCTTTATAAAACATTTTGATAGCAATAAATCGGTTAATCACAAATGATTTTGATACCTTCAAAGTTGGCAATTCTTATATTTGATCCCGATCATTTAACATAAACACAAGAAAGTATTAAAACATTTTATTTTCATAATAACAAAGTGAGGATCTCATCAACGTTTAAAACAATTTTCAAACAGATTATACATATACAAAAATTTACTGGATGTGGTGGAGGGTCAGTTACCTCCTTTATTGCACTTAAATGAATCCAAAACCACAAGCCAAAGACTTCACAAAATTCTTAGTGCAACATTAAACAAAGAATACTACATGATCATAAATAATAATAAAAAAGTACTCCCCAATGAAAACTAGCTACCTCTCTCAGAAGGTACAACCATTGTCAAGGATTGATTTGAATATAGTTTGCCATATTTTTAATCAGACACAATATAATGATATTTGCCTTGTGAAATGGAATAAACAAAGGCTGAAGAGTGGTTTTGGTGTGGGGATCATCCCATTGCAGATATTCCCACCACTCTGTCTCCCCTAATGTGCTGACCAGGAGGTGCTGATGCATGCCCACTATTCATGTGGAAAGAAAGAGGCAGTCTCCTTAACATGGGACAACTATGTACAAGAATATCTTGCAGAGATTCACAAACCATTATGCCCTTATATATGTTTTCAGTATTGGTACCTTTCTTAGTCGTAAACTCTTCAAATTTCAGAGTGTGATTGTGTTGCTATCATCTTGATGATGGCCTTGATATCTCATCTCTACTTCTACTGTTATGTCTTCAACATTCTCACAATCAGGCACAGTTAGTTCCTCAAGGTTAGGGAACTTCTGCAACATGGCAGGAAAAATATTCTTGACACTGGAACATCTATAGAAGTACAACTTCTTAAGGTTAAAGGAAATGTTGTGTGGTGGAACAACTCCATCAAAGAGTACCCTAAATCTGGGTAAATCAAGAAGTCGTAATTCCTCGACAATTCTTAGTGGGATCTGACAATCTTCTGAGAATGATGATGACGAAAAGATGGATTCTATCCCATTACAGTATTGGAGAAGACAAATTCTCAAATGACCGGCATCCCTCAAGGGCAGAATATCTGATAAGCTAATGAGATCCTTGCATCTTGTAATCCCAAAGTATTCTATGTTGCTGGGAAGCACCAATGAATCAACTCCAATCCCAAAAGGTTTAGAGTCAAAACTGATCGCATGAACTTCTTTCCCCACAGAGTTGTTTATATATTCAAAATTATTTCCCACTATAAGGCGGTAGTTTTCCAAGGCTTGGCATTGTTGAGATGTCACAAAACTGGCAAGCTCCTGCACATTGAGAAACTGAGCACCAAGAACTTTTAATTGCCTCAGGTAGCCAAAGACCTCTTGTGCTGACACAAAAGCTCCTGACCCCCTTCAATTCTAAGGATTTGAAGTTGGGAGACTCTGCATAAGGTCCAGCAAGGAAGCATATGTAGGCTTTTATTGAAGGAGAGGTCAAGATTTCTAAGATTGACCAATTCTTCCATACCTTGGGGTACTTCTCGAATCGGACTTCTACTTAGTTTTAACTCTTTTAATGCCTTCAGCTTCACCAGTGACGGCACATACTCTAAGCATACACAATTCACTAGTAAGAGTGCATGCAAATTCACCAAGTTGGACATGGACTCTGGCAGATACAGTATGTAGGTGTTGGACAAAGCCAGTATCTTAAGACAATGCATAGGTGTAAAGAAGGAATCTGAAATCTTTCTTAATGGAATATGTCCCAATAATAAGGTTGTGAGCCGATGGCAAATGGGTGGTTTAAAAGGAAGTTTTTTTATCATGTTATACATTAAGGAAACCGTCTCAAGTTCCTCAGACCAGTTTGTATATGGTACTCTTTCTAATCCCTCACCAGATTGTACCATGAATCTAGGACTCGTTTTTGTTATTTTGAGAGCCATATCTCTGATCAAATCATGCATCCTCACACATTCTATCATATGTATCTTCATACTTTCCAACAAGCAGGTATTTATGAGTTTATTCAATATAGTGTGACCATTGTTGAACATTACTTCTATGCTGTTCACCTCAGTTATTAGTCCCTCAGATATCCAATACTCTGTCAGTTCTTTCCTAGGTATGATATGATCTTGTGGATACAATGCACAATACAAGAAACAATATTGGAGCTTTTCATCTTTTAGGCGACTATAACAAAACTTCAGTAGCTCAAACACTACATTTTCAATGTCACTTATCTGTTTTGTTGAGCTAATCAATTGATTTAATGTATTTTTCCACTCATGAATGTCATTTACTCCACTCATACTTCCAGCCAAGGCAATGATTGCAAGGGGCAGTCCCGTACATTCTTTGGCAACTTTTCTTGCAATTTCTTTCACTTCAGGAGCAAGCACTGTCTGACCTTCTTCAACCTTACTCATAAATAAATTTAGTGCTTCTTTTTCTGGGAGGAGCTCCACTACGACAGGTCTGCACTCCATTTTTCTTCACACTTCAAGGAATCGTGTACTCAACACTAGTTTACATCCATTAGATCTAGTCGGTTCAGGAATACCCACCTTCTCCATAGGAAATGCTTCCCATAGATCATCTAAGATGAGCACATACCTCTCCTTTTGAGAAAGGATTGCATATAATTCTGATGCTATTCTTTTTTCATCCTCATAATCTGAAAGATCAAGATTTAGTGCCTTAGCTATGTCACTCTGTAGTTTGCTAATGTTGAATGCTTTAGATACTGTGACCCAAATCACATCATCAAAGTTACAAGTTTCATTCAGAAGTAGACTGTTAATGTGCTTCATGATGGTTGTTTTGCCGACTCCCCCCATTCCAAACACACCAATTGTTCTAACCTCATCATCCATTAAGTATTCCCAAACTTTCTCCATGTTCCTTTCACTTGTGGTTTCACCAAAAGATCCCATTGTTAGTCTGGACCACCCACTAGTTGGTAGTGCATCAATCAGCAAACCATTTGAAAATGTACCCTTCACTTGAAATTCTTCCACCTCTTGAATCTTCTCCATGACAAGCTTTCCCAACCGTGCACGTGAGAAGACATACTTCCATCCAACTACTTCTTCCTCAAGTCTTTGCAAAGTTTGCACATCACCTTTCACTGTTTTCACATCTCCAAGCCAAACTTCAACTTCTTGCTTTCGTCTTTTCAATGACCGCTCTGCACTGCTCAGCTCTGTATTTATATCATCCTCTTGACAGCTCAAGTACTGTATCTTTCTTTTGAGATTTTTCATGTTTGCATCAAGGCTATTGATATATACAACCCATTTTCCAGTTGCTTCCAACGCCTTCTTCCCAATTTCAAAAATGGAACCCAAGAATTCCATGGTGTGGTCAGTTCCTGGAAATACAGAAATTGCAGAGAAAGAAAATTTCAATGTCAATTAGAAAGCAATTTGAAATTTGATTTTAAAAACGAAGCAAGAGAAAGAAAATAATGCTAATAAATACAAATTGACTTCATATTCACCTGAAAATATTAGAATGACAATCACTGACAAAAAGATAATCCTATAAATAGATATTAGTAAAAATGCCCGACATGTATGTTGTTCAATAATTTTTCTCTCTGATGTTGCTTCTAAACTTCAGATAGGTGGATGATTAGAAACACAAACAAGAATAAGATGTATAACAGCTAGAGTTTGAACCACTCAACACCTAAACTCACAAAACCTCTACATGGGAACAGAAAATTCTATCATGAAAGTTGCCATATTTGGAACAAATTACATATAAATATGGTGTTCAATCTGAAGGGGATGAGAACCAAATATGTACATGTGGAAAAATGCTTTTGCAACTTTTAAGAAATATAATAAACCAGAGAGTTAGTTTGGTTTGCTTTAATTTAGTATTTGCTTCTATTTTATATTCTGATCATAGAAATTGGTCGCCTAGCACAACATCAGTCCACGCCAGCCAAGCTTCTGGTTTGATCATGAATAGGCAGGTATCCATACAGGCTAGGCTAGACTCACTTTCCTCTAAGAAATTATTTAATAAAACAAAAACAAAACAAGATTCAGGGCCAAACTTCAAATTATGAACGGTTTGGTATGGTTTCATTTTATTTCAATATTTTTGTTTTGTTTTTTTGTTATTTTAGGAGGAGAAAGGGGGGGGGGGGGGGGGGGATTCAAAACTAGCCATAATTTTCACTTTTGTGCAGAAAGTATTTAAAAACTTAAGAAAACAACTTTAAAATGTTTCTTAAAACATGGGGTGTTTTAAAAAAAAAATCAAAAACAATTTGTCTGACAAATTTTTAAATCAGTTTCCATTTTCCATTTCTAAGAAAAAATAAATTTTGAAAAATATAAAAATCACAGTAAATCAACTTTATGCTGATTTAAAGCCTGAAGCTAACAAAGTTTAAGGGTGTAATTTGCCACCAAACTAAGATACTCGATTTTCTGTCGACTTAACCAGTGTTCAATTCATCGAACCAAAAAGACAAAACTATCAATCTTTTTCTTCTTTTTATTTTTTTTTGATAAATTCTTTTTATTTTTTTTTGTCAATCGATAACAAAGTAATTACAAATATGAAAAATATTATATCAGATAGACCACCAACCAAACAAAAGCTAGAAAGTCACCAAACCCAACAACCAATTACCAAGCCACACCCAACAATCATTAAAAGCCACATATAACCGCATAATGGGGAGAAACAAAGTATCAAACTCCGAGGGAAAGATCAATTATACCAATACTAACAAGATTGTTTTACCAGGTAATGGAAATACTTTAAACATTCCATTGGTTAATTTATCAACGTTCCAACAAAAATACTTGTATGCTCAAAAACCCTAAGTCCAGCGGGGTAGATGCATTGCAAAATGACAAATTTTAGAGGATGGGGCCGCTACAGTTGGTGGCAAACTCGCTTTGGGGAAAATTTTATTAGTATCTCTTTGATGAATGTGGTATCGACATTCGGTCACACCATTAGGGTCAGCAAGAAGAGAAAATTCTATCCACTTGAGTTGAACCCGAGACCTAACTAAAAAGTCACCAAACCTAATAATCAATTACCAAGCCTAAGCCCAACAATCACTAATTGCTTCATACAACCCCCGAAGAAACAAATATCAAACTCCTGACTTGAACCCCATACCTCACAAAGTGAGAGTTGAACCCGACACCACATAACCACCAGACCAAAGACCCAACCTAGTTAACAAGACTATCACCTTAGCTTTGTTTTGTTTGGTTAAGTTTTGAGACTCAAAAAAAATTAAATTAAATTAAAAATTAATTTGACAAAAATAAACATTATTAATTCACTAAAAACCTTTTAAAAATTCACTAAATACCAAAAATATAAAAAAATGTGAGAATTCAATACATTTTTTTTTTTGTATTTTTATGCATTATTAATTTTTTAAAATATTTTTTCACAAATTTTTTACTTTTTAGATACATCTAAGTAAGGTCCATCTAAAAAAGTAAAAAAATGTTTAAAATTTTAAAAATATTCACTAAAAACAAAAAAAAAAACACGAAAATTAAAAAGCTCAATTTTCAAAAAATTTAATTCAAAAAACTCAAACAAAACACACTAATTATTTCTACCCTAGTTTCTAAATAATCAATTTTTTCTAATTTATTTAAGTTATTTTTACCTAAAAGCTATAAACAAAAATTATACCATATAATCTAATATAAATCCTCAAATTAAAATAAATTATAATCACTATAAAAAAAGAAAACTGTAAGAAACAGTCCCAATGATTGCCCAGTTTTACAGTCCCAATGATTGCCCAGTAACTTCTCAAACAGAAGTGTATAGGAGTGGTTAACGAAAATGAAAAAATATATATATTTTAAATTGTTTGGACAACTTTTGACACAATCACTATGGTACAAGGAAGAAATATATATTTGTGGGGTATATTTTTGTGAATAATAGCACGTGGTCAAGGTGGCACTAAAGTGCCAGCTGAGGTGCCTTGTGTCCTGGTCATGGCGCCGAGGTGATTTCGGCTAGGCCGAGGTTATCTGCAGAGATCAAAATTCGAGATGAATGGATAAGGGATAAGAGTCCTAGAATAGGGGAGGACCTCAGTCTAGATAAAGATAAAGCTCTTAAGGAGTGTATCTTTATCTTTATCTATTTGAGAGTCCAGGATGAGTATTGAGTCAGAGTCCAAGAGAAGCTAGGCTTCTACAGGGATCAGGTTAGTGCTGGCTATAAATGTAAGGCACCATCGTGGGTCTAAGGTACGTTTTTTGATATTCTGGCTAGTGAGTTAAGCACTATTTGTTATCTTTGAGAGATAACTGAGTACTGACTTGATCATCATAGTGCCCCCAGGTGGACGAATCACAGCCGGAGTCTTATCTTTTTGTGACAGGTTGTTCGGGCAAGGTTTATTCTGTCGGTGCTCTCCAGCTGGGTACTTGTTTGGCAGTGTAGTCAGAAAACAGCACACACAATTTGGCGCCGTCTATGGGAATCGTAAGAAGAATAGATGGCCAATGACGGGCAGAAAGAAATGATTGGGGGCGGCATCCCTAGTGGGAGTGGTAAAAATGCCGAACCTAATGTAGAAGAGGACAACTGCGATGAAGAACCTCGGGATAAGGATCTTAGAGAGAAAGACATCAGCCGAAAGGGTGACGTACCGAAGAAAGCATGTTAGGGCGGGTATTACAACGAAAGCGACCTCCAGGTATGGAAAGATAGATGCCGGAGGAGGGACAACGAGATGAAGAGAATGGCAAACAAATTGGCAGACCTACAATCAGTCGTCAATTTCATGATGCAGAACAACGTCATGCAGCCACCATTCCCATTAGAGGACACACCAATTCCACCGGCCAAGAACGATGCCCAGAAAGGGGGGCAGAAAGCAATCCCCACAGTCCCTTAGCATGACGAGGGAATGGAGCATTCGCATCGGCCTTCATGGGAGGTCAGGCGAGGAGAATTAATGAGAGGACAGTCTCAGAAGACACAACGTGCCAAAGAAACCCACACCAAAGAACATTGGCATGTTCAAGGGAAGGAGCTTTGTTTCGACACGACTAATGAAGGGAGGTCCAAGAGGACTCATAACGCCACTGGGAGTAGCGCACCAAAAAGGCTGAAATCCATTGACAGCCGAGCTCCTGGATGGACCAAGGAAGATTTGACGGATTACTTCCAGAAGAAGTGACAAGATGCCGAGATAACCTCTCTGGTCAAGCCGAGAACGCCGTTTTCGGTAGAATTGGACAAGTTTGAGGCCCCAAAAAGGTTTCACATGCCGAGATTCCAAATATACGACGGTAAGTCTGATCCCAACTTCCATGTCAGCTTATACTTGAACTCAATGGCACTGTACACCGAGAACAAGCCGTTGCTCTGCAAGGTGTTCCCCTCATCCTTTGGGGAAATCGCCTCAAATTGGTTTCACAAGTTGCCAAAAGGAACTATGAAAAGCTGGGAAGGCTTGGCCGTGATGTTTATGGCCAAGTTTGTTACAAACAAATTGCAGCCGTTGAGGGTAGACTCCCTAATGGCTTTGAGAATTGGCGAGGATGAAAGCCTCAGGGCTTATGCCAAGAGGTATTATGTGGTGTTTAACCGAATATCGGGGTGCAACCAAGAGGTGGTGGTCGTGTCTTTTAAGAATGGCTTGAACGATGACTGTCTGCTTCGAAAGTCACTGGCAAAGACACTGCCAAAAAGTATAGAGGAACTCATGGCCAGAATCGAGAAATATGCGAGAGCGGAGAAAGACACACTGAGAACAAAGGCATCAAAGCAAGAGAAGAGGAACGGCTCGCCGAAGCGAGGCCGAGGTAATACAAACTTTAACAAACAAGAAATGGGACTGAGGGGGGCATAGACAGTCACTACAGTGTTCCAGATCCTGGTTTACAAAGTTTTGGAAAGAATCAGGAATCAACCTTACTATAGAGCACCGTAGAAGATTCCTGGCAAATTTATGGGAAGAAGTCTAGGGAAGCACTATGCCTACCATAATGAGGATAGGCATCTGACTCAGGGGTGCAGAGCCCTAAAGGCACATCTAGAAGATCTAGTAAGACAATGTCATTTAAGGGACCTAGTAGATGAGGCCAGGACATGGGAAGAGCAAGTAAGGCTGCCCCAAGCACCAGCAGCACCACCTCCACCAATACCACAACCGCAAGCAGACAGACCTCGAGTGATCAATGTGATTCACTTGAAGGTCAATGAGAATAAGGTACGTGAGGAGACTCATAAGGTGAAACACTTACAGCATGTGTATCAGGTCCAGCAAAAAAGGCCTAGGGTAGACGAGTGCCAGGGACCAATGGTGTCCTTTACTGAAGCTGACCTAGAAATGGTG